CCCTGTACTCTCCAACTTTTCCAATAACTTGCATGAAAGGATTGGTTGGGGAGAGAAATGCAGAAGCGTGAAACGTGTCGACCAAGAATTATGTATGGAATTTTCTGTGCCAATTAAATCCTCCTATTAATTTCTAATAGATCAGATAGATCTACCATTTCAAATGGTTGTCAGTTTAATATTCTATAATAACAATTATATCTGTTAAAAAAGAATGGATAAATAAAATTTGGCGATCAAGATCGATCATTACTCTAACAAGAGAGATTTCATCATTTTACTATAGTGAAATGCAATCAAAAAATTTCAATTTCAATCGAAAAAAAAAGCGAAGAGAATGGGGAAATATAAAAAGAAATAAGAATTAAGAAAAAATGGAAAAGCAGGAAAAATTAGAGAAAGACAATGAGAAATACAGACAAACAGGAAAAGACAAAAAAAAAAAAACAGGGAGAACTAGGAAAAGACAGGGAGATACTAAAGAGAGCCAGAGACTAAGGGAATGACAGGAAAATCTAGGGAAAAACATAAAAGATAAAAGACAGACACAAAGAAATAAATAGAACCAAGGAGAGTTAGGAAAAGACAGGGAAAGCTAAGGGAGAACTGAGGAGAGACAAAACAATCTAAAGAGAGACAATGAGAGATTGAAGAATATAGACACAGAGAAACACATAGAGCTAGAAGAAGAAAATATTATAAATCGATTCGATGATCAAAATTTAACAATTTTTAATTTTCTTTTTTAGATCAAATATTGTGAAATATTTGATAAAAATTTAAAATCCCTTTCAATATCATAATAAATTATATATGATAATATTTTAATCAATCGTTATCCGAAATTCTTTAACAAAATTTCATTTTTCATCTCTTTTAGAATTATAATCGAACATTTTTAAAAATTTCGAAGATTTAGATTTATTTAAAGATTAAAAAATAATAGGACATCAATAATATCGACAAAAATTTGTAACTGAAAGGTAATGCTGTTATTTAAATATTTAAAAAAGTTATCAGAACTTAAAAAAGATTAAGAAAATTGTTTTAATCTAAAGCCTTTTGATTGATTAGATATACATTTGGAATACATTGGAAGAGTTCATAAAATTGGGTGTAATTGAACGTACGTGAGTAATCTGTCGAAGTATCTCGGTCAAAGGTTATAGAATGATATCGAGAGATCAATCAATTGGACTAGATAACCAAGTGACTGTTCCCAACCTTCGTTAAATGTCAAACGTGTGGCGAACCTTTTGAAAAGACCAGGATCAAAAACAGGCAACCGAGGATCCCGTTGATCCTATTGTCCTCTCTATGAATCCTCCATTAATCCTTTTCCTCTCAAAGGAAGAAAGTAAAAAGGTCAAATCAATTTTTTTTTTTTTCAGTATAAAATTAAAGAACGAAAGAACACAAAATTTTTTAAAGCTGACTAGAAAAAATTGATTCCAATCCAATTTTGAATAAATTTTTACAAAATTAATCATTACTATTCTCGTGTTATAAATTAATTTTAATGGAGCATTGAAGTAATGATGGAAATTTTTTTTTAGAAATTTAAAAACGTACATTGTGAATATCTATATAAATTGTACATGTAAAATTTTCAATTATTACTGTTCTTAATTAAAACTTTTCAAAAATAGAATCAGAAAAAGATTGAAAATTTCAGAAAAAAAAATATCTTTATTTTCTAAGTTTAATCGATAAGGAAAAATTTTCATTCTCGTTTCCGCTTCTCAAAAGAAAAAAAAAAATTAAAAAAATAAGAGAACAAAAGAGTCATATATACGAGTGATCTAAAAACAGAGGAATTCCGAAGCTGACTGATATACGTATTATCCTTCCATCAGCTAGTACAAAGTGAAAACGAAGAAACGAGAATGAAGTAGGGGAAATAATCCTGACTAGGGGCCACGAATGGACACAGAGCCATGGATTTCCCTGCTTATTGTAAATGGGCCGCGTATATATTCGGCTTTGAAGAGAATTCTCCGCTTCATTTCAGTTTCTCCTCTCTGAGTGTTTGCCGATGTGTAGCTGTTGATCCCTCTGGAATGTTGTGCTCGATATCTTTGATATGCAAAAAAAAAAAAAAAAAGAGAGATGGATCAATCATGCGACGTGCATGCGAAATGAAGAGATAAGTGAAAGAGGAATCTGCGAAATCCGGAGAATTTTTAAAGCTTTGATATATATCCAACGTAAGTCTAACATAAATATAAATTTCTTCTATGATGCTTTGATTTCCTTGAAAATTTCACACCTTTGTTTGTTACTCTCTATGATACTTTGATGTTAATAATAATGGTTAATAAGGGGACAATATCTAAAGTGAAATTCTTTTTCTTCTTATTCTTTTTTGTTTTTAATTATTTTATATTATTGAAACGTAAAAGTGAATTATATTAATACAAGTACTAATCACAAAAAGAATTTTTGTTTCATTTTCATAGCGATAAATTCTGAATAACATTCATAACTCGAATAACATGGAAAAGGAATAATAATTATAACATTAAATATAAAATAATGGTGAAGAAATCATGAAAGGAAAAATCGAAAAAAACAAAATAATGTTATTTCTCTTTTCTTTAAAAATAATTATATGTATAATTACTTATAACTTAAATATATAATCCAAAATAAATAAGAAAGATTAATAAATATTTAAAACATATTATAATAAGTGAACATGAAATTTCTAATTTCTAATTAAAAAGAAAATGGCAAAAAATTTAAAAAAATTGAATTAATTGAAAAATAGATTAGAGAATTGAAAAATCTGAAAAAATAGATCTCTTCCATCTATCATTTAATTAAAAAATCTATCGAATGTTGTCTAGAGAGTGCACTCATGTGGACAATTAAATGTTCAAAGTGTCTTTCCCATTGGTGGAAATTCGACAATTTGCGAGACGGACATTTTCGAAAACAGTCGCGAAACAAACGTACGAGTGCACTCGTAGCTCCTGAAGTGGTACTTTTGCAAAAGCGTGTGTAACAAGAGTGAAACGACTTCCACAACTTTTGTTTCCACATAAATTAGTTTTCGTCTAATCTCTACAGATAACAGCCCTATAAACAGATTTATTAGACTTGTATATGATATAATATTATATGAGGTTCTTTTTCTTCTTAGTCTTCTTTCTTTTCTCATTTCTTTTTTTTTATTCTCTTTTATTCTTTCCTTTTTTCATCATCTTTTCCTGTTTTTTCTTTCCCTTTTTTCTCTTTTCTTTCTCTTCTTTTTATAAACTTATAAATTAAAAAAGAATAAAAGCGATATTAAAAATAAAAATATTGTTCTAAAATTAAAAAAATACACACCTGTAAATCATAGTTTTCCAATTCACAATCAATCAACATTAAATGAAGAAACTCGAAATTTTATATTCTCTTTTTTTTCCGTTCTTCTTCTTCTTCTTCTTCTTCTTCTTCTTTTTCTTTGCAACGATACCAACAATGAAATCTCAAATAGGATATAAATAATCATCCTTGTGCCTTGTGAACGTGGCCATGGAAAAGGTTGGAAGATTTTCTCGACCGAAGCAAATTGAGAAGAAGAGAGATATTCCTGTATTTTTCTTCGATAGGATTATAGGCATAGCTTGTGCACGGGCGAACAGGATTACCCAATAAGCGACTCTTTCTTTTTCTCCTGGCTGATAAAGCCTCGACAAACGTACCCCGATTTCGGAGCCGATATCTTCTGAGTGACCGACTCGGCGAGAAGAGTCGAAAGTTCTCTCTTCAGCCTTGTTCAAACCCCACTCCAGAATGTTCCTTTTATCGAAGTCGCATTCTAGGAGATTCCTTTTAAGGATCAGATACACGGATACACACATTGGAGTGATTTAATGTTACCAATATATATTTAATTCTTCTTTGAAAGAAAATGCTAAATTTCCATTTTAATTTTTTTATATTAGTTTAGAAATAACTTGAAATATGTTTTTAATTGACACTTTCATATTATTTTTTATTAATGAAATTTTTATTTTTCTTTTCCCATATTTTTTACTATTGGAATCCCTGTTGCTTTTCTGTTCATAGAATAGCTTCTCTTTTTACTATTTTTGCTAGAATTTTAAATTAAATTAAATTAAATCATAAAGTAATTAGACTTAATTCTTCACAATATTTTATTTCTAATTCTCAATTTTTTCAAAAAAATTAAAATATTTCAAAACTATTTATTAATATATATATAAACACTAGATTTTTAAATTAATTGTTAAACAATCTTATCTTACTTGATCCTTTTCCTTTTTTTCACAAAGAATATTATTATTTATGGAAGTAATAATTAATTCCCATAATTTTTCCCAAAGAATTTTCAATTCGCTTCAATTAGTAAGAACTTTATATTCTTCTCTATTTCAAAATTTCTTATTTATAGTAATGATTGATTTCATGATTTCAATCTCCTTCTTCAAACTTTTTTAGCTTAGTTCATAAGAAGAATGCATCCATCATCTTTTGTTTCATGGTAAATAAATTCTAAAAAGATTAGTAAGTGTTTCACCAATGAAGTCAAGAATTACAATTCACAGATAAGATTCGAACAGCGTTTATTAATTTATGGAAATACTGATCTTTCGAGAAGATTATCAGTAATTTACTATTTTAATTACAAAAGTTAGAGGATACAATATCTTGAAAAATTGATCATCAATAATTTTACACATTGTGTTATGTGTAATTTATATTTCTCGATGAATTCTGGTTATTATTTAAAAACCATACATATGATTCACTTATTTTACAAATTTGAGAAATATGTCTATCATTTTTTGAATATGTCAAAACATTTGAGACTAAAAATATATATATATATAATTTATAATCTAATTAATATCAATTATTATAATTATAGGAAAAAGATTCCTATAATTTTCTGTTTTATTCGTCATCCTTATAAAATAGTCAGTCTGGATAATTGGTTCAATAAAACTCTTGAAAAATAAATTTTAACGATAATTTTCTTATTATAGAAACACTTGGTCGAATTAACACCGAAAAGATATTGACTGGGACAGATACAAGATCGGTGGATTAATTCTATTTCAGTGTCTCTGATATTATGCTGGAATACTTGTGGAATCAATATTAAGTTCCCAAAAGCATTTTATGAATTCAATAAAAGTGACCTAGTTGAAGAGGAACACTCTGATGTGTGCTTGGTGAAAGTAGAACAAGACAAATAGAATGAGATATATGTGTGTGTGTGTGTGTCTGTATTAACTACAGAAAGAGGAGTTTCCCGAAAATTTTATTGCATTCGTCTACCATTCAGAAAATTCGACTCTTAAACCATTAACTACAAAAAAGTTTTATAACTGATCCATGAAAACACAATTTTAACCTGGGAAAAGAATATTCAATTTATATTGCAATCTATATATATTTTTTATATTGCAATCTCAGTAATATATCATCAAAAATCAAATTTGACTAACTTGATAAATTAAGCAGAAATATTGTATGTATTTTTTTAATTATAATTTTTAAAATTATTTAAATATATATGTGTGTCTTAATAATTGTAAATTTCTATATTAGAATAAAAAAAGGAAGAAAATACTAAATTAAAAGAAAAGACTGAAGAAAATATACTTACAAAGGTAAAAAAATATTTCTCTGTCCATTATTAATATTCCTTTAATTATTATAATATCTTTCTAACTAAATCTCTAATCGCATACAAATTTTTCATCAGCAAATTGGACGATCCCAGTTCATTGAGTTAAAAAAAAAAAAAATGCAGAAATCATCGGTAAATCTGTTAAAAAGAAAAATTGGACATGCAGCTTTGTTGCAATCAACAACTCGTTTAGAGGCCATATTAACTTGGTAAAAAGCTGGTACCCTGGCGCAATATATGTCACATATTGTACGTACTTGGTTGCGTATATACGAGCCACATACTTCTCGCCGTACTCCCGTACATAGGCCGGTAGACACATAGTGAGTGCATACTGGCGTGCATCGACCTCTGGGGTAGTAGCGTGTGCGCGCGCGCGCACACACACATACTCATACACAGAGGTGAAAATGTGGTCAAACATCCTAACAGAGAGGATCACTAAGTGAGGAGAGAGAGAGAGAAGAGGAAGGGAGAGAGAGTGAGTAAGTGTGTATGTGTGAAGAGAGAGAGAGAGAGAGAGAGAGAGAGAGAGAAGACTTCCTCCATATGTATATGGTAGA